CTGGAAAGGAGGCATTCCATCTTAGTCCTCACGGGTGACAACGCATCTGCATTTTGATTCTTTATTGAGGATAGATGTAGATGTCTATGGGCCACAGCAACCACTTACCATCAGGTGGACTGTGTGCTAGGTTGTCACCCTATCCTATATAAAAAAAAAGAAAAAATATTTGAACTGTACATGATTTTTATAAAAATAAATTTAATAATATACTTTTCTTTATAAAACTGAAATGACAAACGAACTTCAAGTCAACCTGATGGTAAGGGGCTACTACAGTCCATAGATCGTAGCACAGCGTTGCCGTTTAACGCTGCTGAGCCACTACAGGTTACAGGTTTGAATGTCGCACGGAACAAGAGCTTGGTACGGCCTACAAATAATTGGTCGATCTGGTTGCGTGTTGCTGTGCAATTTATGTAAATATGCAAACTTGTGCAATTTATGTAAAAAGACTATGTTCGACTGGTGTAAATCTTATTGATTGTCCATTAATCCCACAAAAACTCAAGCAATAATTATTGGTAGTTCTAGATTCGATGCTAGGGTTGACTTGTCTCCCATACCATCTACTTTTTTTTAGAGTTCCGTACCTCAAAAGGAAAAAACGGAACCCTTATAGGATCACTTTGTTGTCCGTCTGTCTGTCTGTCTGTCTTTCTGTCTGTATGTCTGGCTGTCTGTCTGTCTGTCTGTCTGTCTGTCAAGACCCTTTTTCTCAGGAACGCGTGGAGGTATCAAGCTGAAATTCATATGAAATACTTAAGTCTACTGTTCCTTGGAGCTGTGAAAAAATCAAACTTCTAAGCCAACGCAATCAAAAGATACAGCCGTTTATGGCGCAAATTTTCGACATTTGCAAGGGAATCAAAACCTACAGGGTACTTCCCGTGAACTCAGAATCTTAAAATTTGGTACGAAGCAACGTATTGTAGCACAGATAAAGGAAAAATTGCGAAAAGCATAAATTTTTAGTTACATCATATAATAAAAATATTTTTAATAATTTTAAACTACGGATTTGTGCGGAACCCTCGGAGCGCGAGTCCGAGTCGCACTTGGCCGGTTTTTTTTTTATAGGAGAGGGGGCAAACGAGCATGCGGCTCACCTGATGGTAAGTGACTACCGCCGCCCATGAACAACCGCAACACCAGGGGAATTGCAGATGCGTTGCCAGCCTTTTAAAAAGGAGTAGGCTCTTTTCTTGAAGGTCCCTAAGTCGTATCGGTCCGGAAAAATCGCTGGTGGTAAACTATTCCACAAGGAAGTTGTGCGAGGAAGAAAACATCTTCTAAATCGCACAGTGGTGGACCGCCAATCATCCAGATGGTGTGGATGGTATCGGGAGTTCTGCCGCGATGTGCGTTCGTGAAATTTGGCGGCTGTATGGCGGGAGTGCTCCATTTTGTCCCCGGGTAGGAGAGATACGAAGTATCAGCCGGAGAGGACACCTGCGTCTCGGTCAGAAAGAGCAAGGCCGGCTTCACCGTCTCGAGATGGTAGTGGAAAGCGTTTAGGTTCGAGTAAAGTCCCCTGATGTTGCAGAAATTCATGGATAGCGTGACAGGGGTCGCCTTGGTCTTGTTGCGCAGTTTGCCCCGAGCATTTATTGTGTTGAGCGGAATTCTATGTCTATGATGTAATTCCGCTATTATGTTGATAAGGGGGGGGGGGATTGGGCCTCCGGTCACCTGCACTCACCAGACGGAAGCAGAGCTTCCACTTCACGCCGGTATTCTGTGAGGTCGTGGTACTAACCCGGCTCGAGCCGGCCCATACGTGCAACAGCAAAAGCTGCTGCGTGGCTCTATCACCGTGAAAATATCTATACTTTTCAATGCCATTCACATCAATTTTAGTGATAAGTAAAGATTTTAGGAATATATATTATCGACTACTGTCTAACATGGTTAATGAACACAGGTTAATGAAGTAAGTAGGAAAATGTTTGCTGCAGTAAGCTCTCTGCGGAGACTTTGAAATTTTCCTCCTAATGCCAATAAAGTTGCACTTGCTCAATCCCTACTTCTGCCTATTCTTGACTATGCTGATATTTGCTATCTGGTAGATACCGAAACGTAGTTAAATCAACTTAAGCGAATTCAAACTTTACGCTTACGATTTATATTTGGACTCCGTAAATACGATCACATTTCATAAACGTCTCTAGTGGCTGCCGATTCGCCTTTACAGGAATACTCGCATCCTTTCTGCTTTATATTGCATACTGTTCAATCCCTCCTGTCTACGTTACCCGAAAAACTGCTTTGAGTTCATTTCCTTCTCTCACGTTTGTCATCTACGTTCCACAAACAATCTTTCGCTTCGTATTCCAGCACATGCAATAAATCATTCTCGGTTACAGGTGGGAACTCCTTGCCTTTATATATTCGACGTGTTGTCCATTTTCCTCCAAAAATCTACTCAAAGCTTATTACTTGGAGCTCTAATATCTCCCATTATAATTCCCGTCCTTATTACTCTAAGCTTAATTGTATCTATCCTATCTAGCCTCAACTGTCATAATCTTGTGTTTTTCTTTTTTTTTCTTTTATTTAAATGTCTAATTTATGTACACCTTCCCTATTTGCAGTTCGACAACAACAATTCTTTGCGCAAAAAGGTTGTCTGGAAGAAATCGCTTCCAGAGCGATAACATCGCCTATTGTACTTTTTTTTATTTTATATCATTTTGTTTCATTTTAATGTGTATTGGTGTACAATAAATAATATATTGATTAAACCGTCTCCACGATAAAGTAGAAAATCCTAACGTCAGGTTAACGATTTAAAAAAAAGTAAGTAAATCATACGTTTAATTGAAGTCTATAATTTACCGTAATAGCTTGATGAATGGATCACCGTTGGTTGGTTGGTATGATTGGTTATAAAAGAATGAAAATGTTATCCACCCGAGCAAAATAAGTTATCACTTACTCATTTATATTTATATTCCTACCTAAAATTAAAGCATTAGAAATCTGTCTCAAAGTTGGAGTGTCCTAATTCTCCCAATTTTACGGTACTTACAATCCTTTCAAGGTATGCTAAAATGTGCCGCCAGACAATGTTTTTCTTTTTGGCTCTTTCTGATTTGTCAGAGTGAACGACTGATGTTATTCTAATTTTTTAATTATTTCTTTAATACATTTTCATTTTGTTATTTTTTTTTTCGCGTTGATCGATTATAAAATCCCGAAACATTTTAAATTACGTCATGCATTGCGCTGGCAAGAATCTGCTGATATAACGCTGCCGCGTTTAGTAGTACGGCTAACGTGTTTCAAAGCGAACTGATTTTTAACTCTTGTTTCCCACTGCTTAACTTAACCGGCCCATAGTGACAAATCTGTCAATTTTTATTTTGTGATATTTTTGGGTACGGTTTTTACTGTAATGTTTTGTAATTCTTTTTATTACTAATTGTTGTGGCTAATGTAAAACCATTAATTTATTATGCTGTGATATAAAGATAGAAGTAAAATAAATATAGGTGTGAAATGTTAAATTTAGTTTACGAACTTCAACTTTTTGGTGCTCCTTGGATGACGAGAATGACCTCATCGTTATAAAATCTAATGTGATAAATATTTGTATGTCACATAATTGGTTTTATATGAATTTCAATGTATTAACAACTGGTTATTTTAAGGTTAATGTCTAACGTTGACCCAGTTAAAAGTGTAACAGCTTACGTACTCTAATAATTTCTCTTCCATCGTTGAATCTTTTAGTGTGAAAAATGTACCTTTTTTCATTATATAGACTTGTATTGAACTAGGAATATAACTTTTCATTGATTAAAGTCAGTGTTTCGTCACTTAGAAAACCTAAACTATCATCAGCACAGAATTTTAACTGCATATTCTCTAGATTTCCGCTTGCCTCGCTATAGTATTCAAAAGAAATTATTTTTCAAATTTTTGGCTTAAAATATTTAAATTAAGTACATATATGAAATTAAACTTTATTGTTTTTAAACAAAATTTAAAAACTATCCCTACATTTACAATTAATAACAATTACATTTATATAGTTCCGCTAATAACATAGCATTACTTATACCGGTTGCAGATGCTTTAGAATAGCTTGTGCAAGTGCCATTACTGAGCTTGAAATAGTATTTAAACATTATGTGCTTAGTAAAGTACAGTATAATACACATGCATAAGCCATAACTGCTCACTGTAAATTCTCTGACGCCGCCCTGCTTGTATGGTAGACACTGATATTAGTGATTTGATGAGCATCAGGTTCTTTGTACTTACAGTGAACAAATGCCAAATGCAAGTATATTATTTTTACTTAAGCAAGCTACTGCACACAGTCTGCATTATGGATAAAAGAAAATATCTTGATGTATAAATGTGATAATTATGATATAAAATACTCAAGAAAATTCTTTTTCTTTTTATTGTTTTTTAACTACTTAAGAGGAAGTGGTCAATTAACACAACTACTTCTAAGGTATGATGTCATGACACAATAGTTATCTAATATTGTGGCCTCTAACATGTTTTGCAGCCTCAGTACTATAGTAACATCCAGTGTAATAGCAGTGAAGCATGTCACTCAATAATATTCAGCGCTTAAAAGTTCTGTGCGGTGTTGCATTTTAATAAAATGTTAAACACCAAAGGTTACCGGTATTTGATTAAATATGCATTAGAGATGTAAAAGAAGCAAAGGTTTATCTTGAAGTTATCTAAATCTACATATTGTCAAATTTTACATGTTGATCTCGTCATTTTAGACGGAATGAATTGTAGTATATATATATATATATATATATATATATATATATATATATATATACATATAAATATTTTCTATTATAAATACTTTTACAATATTTAATTGACATTCAACTATAGACACAGCATAATATAATAATTGCATTTACATATAAACAAAGTTTTTTGAAATCTACAGAAATATGTAACAGTGAAAAATGAAACAAATAGTGTAGTGTGTAGAGTAGTGCAAATAAGACCTCGCAATGGCGGGGCAAAATGGTGGTGCTGGTTTTGGGAACCTAATACAAGGTGCGGGAAGGCAGTTGCTAAATCAAGGAGGCCAGGCCTTGCTTCAGTATGGCGCCCAAGCACTTGGAAATATCATTAATGAAGTGTTCCAGAAGAAAGAGGTTGAACAAAAAAGATTTCTTCCAAGCATTAAAAACTATAAAGTGGTGAGTATTTTTCACTTTCTTGTCAAAAATAAAAGATAATGTTATCAGAAACTTCCTAATAGATTAAAATTAAAGAAATTCTGAACTGTAAAACTGTGAAGTTGTTATTATTACAGCCCATTACAAGTCCACTTGCTAAACATAGGTTCCCCAAGGAACACCACAAAAGCACCGTCCTAAGCCACCAGAATCATTAATAATGATACTACACACTTCCACATAGTGTTATGCCTGTGAAAATTACTATAGACAACACAAACCCTATTTGCTAATTCTATATGCCCCATAGACAATGTGTTTGAATCCAATACCAACCCATTTTTAATGCACTCTTGATAAACAGCCCTGTCACATCCCTTACACTGTATGGTTGCATATGGATATACTTTTAAATTGGATTTTATCTAAACAACATGCTGTCATTGGAATTAAATATGCCTTTGGTTTTATTTAAATCTGGTAGTACATTACTGTGGTTGATCTTAAAAAGAGAGTAATTTTTGTCTGTAATGTTTGTATATACAACCATTTCTATGTTTGTCTGTCACTGATCAATTAAATGTCAAAACACAACACACAACTCCAAATTCCTACTACTGCTGCTACTGGGAACTTCTTGAGCTCTTCATACGAATTCAAGAAATCGGCACATTCCTGATGGTTATGCAGTTATATCACCATCTGTCAAAAACCATGAGATCTTTTTGACATTACCTATCATTGTCTCTTTCAACACCCAACAATTAAAATGGGATGAAGGATTATCAACATTATACTGCTGTTTTTTTTTCTGGTATTCTTAAAACATGGTCTTTCATTATAGCTGCAGCATAGCTTTACCATGTATTACTACTATAATGCCACTAAATAATCTTAAAATAACATCATCTATTCTATTCTATATATTTCTATATATATCTATATCAACATATACTAAGAAGTATTTAACTGACAACTGATTTATTTCAAACTGAACCATATTAAAATATGCTTACTTTTTTAAGTAATAGGTACGACTTTCCATTGACATCCATCGAGTTGGGGGTTGATACGTATTTTTACAGAAAAGTTACACTATTATAAGCACACACACAAAGTTACAATATGCGGAAGCGCGTAATTTTTGAGAAAAAAGTTATTGAAAATCAATTATTCTTGCATTGTTTATGTCTAATCCTACAATAAAACTGACGCCATTTTTTTAGTTATTGTCAGTAGGGATGTCGATTCTTTCCGAAAAATATCGATTTTTTAAGTAAATTCGAATTGTAAGCTGATGTATCGATTCCCAAAAAATCGATTTCTAAAATATCTATATTTTTTTCATGTTTGCATTTATAATGTAAATGAATCCATTTTATGAGAAAAAAGTCCCTTTCATCATAAAATATAGGGGGACTGATTCAGAAGGATTTCTGTATCTATTTTGAGACTGCTACGTCTCCGGCGCTGCGGGAAGAGCAGCCTTTACGCCCTAGCGTAACAAATCGCAGGCATCCCTTCTCGCCTCCGCAGCTTCGGCTTGTTGGTCGCCTTCGGCGACCAGCCTCAGCCGCTCTGACTCGACCGATGCCTACGATTTGTTACAGCAGGCGGAGGCTGCTCCCCCTACGCGCCTCCGGCTCTTTAAAACCACTCTAGGGGTAGCACAGACTCGTACCAGGTGGAGCCGGGGTCAATCAATTCAGTTCTTTGACATAAGTTGAACCTAACCTATTTTATTTGTTATCTGCCCTAATTGGTACTGTTAAAATAAAACAAAATTCAATAAGAGATCATTTATTATGGTATCTTTCTTGTTTTTCATAAAATGGAATTATATTTACATTATAAATGCAAACATAATTTTTTTATGAATCGATACATCAGTTTACGATTTGAATCGATTTAAAAATCGACCTTTTTCGGAAAGAATCGACATCCCTACTGACGACAATGACATTACAAAATGACGTCAGTTTTATGGTAGAATTAGATATAAACAATGCAAGAATAATTGATTTTCAATAACTTTTTTCTCATAAATTATGCGTTTCCGCATGCTGTAACTTTGTGTGTGTGTGTAACTTTTCTGTAAAAATACGTATCAACCCCCAACTCGACGGGAGTCAATGGAAAGCTAAGCCAAGTAATATTTAATACAGCGCAATAAAAATTACCACAACCAAAAATGTATGCAAATTTCACGTATGACTTCAACTTTCGTATATCGTACATAGGAATCTTCAAATACCGCCTACGTAGTTTATTGACCTGATCCCATTATGCTGCATATATACTGAGAAAATGAGAAAGATAGATTTTAGATATGGGTATGTTCTGAACCCATAGGAGCTTTTACTACTAAATTTTTGTATTTTTAATTGAAATAAACTACTTTTCTCACCATTAATAAAACATTGCAAATAATTAAATAATCCCTTTGCTGTCTATATAGGACTAATTCAAATCAAAGGGTTTGCTTTGTCGTTTGTAATGAATACAGCAATGTAGTGGAATAACTTTAATTATTTACCTGTTATAAATGTGGAATATCATATAATGTATTCATATGTATATAGAGGGAAATAATTGGGTATTTGACACTAGGCAATTGATATACTTTTTAAGAGCTGTCAAAACAAATATTCCTTTAGAATTTCTATAAGAATCTTGAGCAATAACATGCATGTATGCAAAAATAGTGTTAAGATGTCATTATTTTATATTAATACTACATAGCGATCCGCTTGGGCTTCGCATGAGTGATTTCTGGATCTCCAAAACATCGCCACCTACCGGCTCCAATTGTGAATCTAAACCATTCTCAAATCAAGTTAATCACACACATAGAATTTCATCAAAATCGCTCCAGCTGTTTAGGAGGAATTCAGTCACATACACACGGACAGAAGAATTATATATGTAAAGATAATTAATTATTTATCTTTAAATAAGTACTAAAAATCTACTTTAACTTAAAATGGAAAATAAACTAGTTTTAGGTTTACAACGCTGTCAAAATTATTTTCATTATTACTGATAGAATAGTTATTACTCATCATCATCATTCATCATTACAGCCCTTCACAAGTCCACTGCTGAACATAGGCCTCCCCCAAAGAATGCCACAAAGCACGGTCCTGATCCACCTGCATCCATCGACTTCCTGCATGTCTTACCAGGTCGTCACTCCATCTCGTGGGGGGGACGCCCTACACTTCGCCTACCGGTACGAGGCTGCCACTCGAGAACCTTTCTTCCCCATCGGTTGTCGGTTCTTCGAGCTATATGGCCGGCCCACTGCCACTTCAGCTTACTAATCCGTTGGGCTATGTCGGTTACTCTGATTCTACTGCGGATATCCTCATTCCTAAGTTTATCACGCAGAGAAACTCCGAGCATAGCCCTCTCCATAGCTCGCTGAGCGATCTTGAGCTTCCTCATACGGCCAGCAGTGAAGGACCAAGTCTCAGTTCCGTAAGTCATCACTGGCAACACGCACTGGTTGTACAATTTCGTTTTCAGGTTTTGAGGTATGTCTGACGAGAAGATGTGTCGTAGCTTCCCGAACGCTGCCCAGCCGAGTTGAATCCGTCGATTGACCTCTCGGTCGAAGTTGGACTTACCTAGTCGGACTATTTGTCCCAGGTAAACATACTCGTCAACAACTTCGAGCTTAGTGCTCCCAACAACTACCGGCATAGGTGTGACATGGACATTGAACATGATCTTTGTTTTGTCCATGTTCATCTTAAGACCTATCCGTTGGGAAACACTATCGAGGTCATTGAGCATAGTGCTTAGGTCATCCAGCGATTCTGCCATAAGGACTATATCGTCGGCAAATCGAAGGTGAGTGATGTACTCGCCGTTGATGTTGATACCGTATCCTTTCCAGTCCAGAAGCTTGAAAACGTCTTCCAATGCAGCGGTGAAGAGTTTCGGGGATATGACGTCACCCTGTCTTACACCTCTCTGCAATTGGATAGGTTTCGTACTCTGATTTTGTACTCGGATAGCCATCGTAGCCCTACTGTACAAGCACTTCAACACTTCGATGTACCGACAGTCAACTTGGCACCGCTGAAGGGACTGCAGCACCGCCCAAATTTCGACGGAATCAAAGGCTTTCTCATAGTCCACATACGCCATACATAGTGGCAAATTGTACTCTTCGGACTTCTGTACAATTTGCCGAAGGGTATGTATGTGGTCTATGGTGCTAAAGCCCTTTCGGAAACCGGCTTGTTCGGGAGGCTGGAAGTCGTCAAGTCTGCGCGCGAGACGATTCGTAATGACTCTCGAAAACAGCACGTAGACGCGGCTCAGAAGGGAAATCGGTCTGTAGTTCTTCAAGAGTGCGTTGTCACCTTTCTTGAAGAACAAGACCACCGCACTTCTGCTCCACGGCTCCGGTGTAATGCCACCATGGAGGACGGAATTAAAGAGCTTCTGAAGGACTTCAAGTACCGGTCTTCCACCCGCTTTCAGAAGCTCCGCTGTAATTCCATCCTCGCCTGGGGCCTTACCGTTTTTAAGGTGCTGGAGAGCCATTCTAATCTCGCTCAGACTGATGTCCGGGATATCTTCGGAATAGTGTCGGATGAGACTCGCTCTTGGATCGTTACTCACACTTGCGTGTGGCTCAAACGATGACGTGTACAGCTGCCCATAGAACCTCTCAATCTCAATCAGTCCCGGAAACGATGCTGCCACATTCTGTCTTCAGCTTTGACAGTTGGCTCTTTCTGGCAGACAGATCTCTGGCAAAGACTTTGGAGCCTTGGTTCCGCTCGATCGCTTCTTCAATACGAGCTGTATTGAAGTTGCGTAAGTCCCGCCGCATGCATTTGGAGATCTGTCTGTTCAGATGCCTGTATGCTGTCAAGTCTGTTGAAGAATGTAGCTTTATCTCCCGTCTAACAGCCATGAGATTAAGAGTGTGATCGGAGAGTTTTTGTGTTCTTCTGCGGCGGGTCTTGCAGAACTTAGCTCCGACCGCATGGACAATTTCCACG